TGCCTATCCAAGTTTTCCCCCCCATGTTTTTTAACTAATTTATGAATTACTAATTTAGCATCAATTAAAATGTGCAGTCTGTTATTCAGCATGCTAATCAGCAGGGTTCTGACACCTTTTAATCAATGAACTATTAAAACTTGAAAATTCATGATTAGATGAGGATTTAAAAAAAAAAAATTATTCTATAGAGATTACACAAACAAGAAAATGATTTCTATCAAACATAATAAAAAAAGAATGTAGTAAAATAGTAAAGTTCTTATTCAAATAGGCTTAATTTTCTTTATGCAAAAATATCTTTTTTAAAAACGTATAAAAAATACACAACAGGTCAAAAGTTTGGAGTCCGTAATTTTTTTTAAAGAATATTTTATTCAGCAAAGATATGTTAATTTGATCAAAAGTGACAGCAAAGACTTTTACATTATAACAAAAAAATCTGTACAATTTTTTTTAAATATTCCTAAAACCTAAAAAATGTTTTTCCACAAAAAATATTAAGTTGCCAACATTAATAACAACAAAAGTTACTTGAGCTACAAATCTGCATATCAGAATTTCAAAAGAATCATGTAATCGTGTGACACTTAAAACTAGAGTTATTGCTGCTGAATATTGAGCTTTGCCATTACATGAATAAAATATATTTTAAAATATTGTAAAATAGAAAATAGTTACTTTAAATTGTAATAATATTTCACAATATTACTGTTTTTACTGTTTGATCCAAAAAAAGTAGGCTTGGTGAGACTTTTCAGAAAACTTTATTTTATTTTTATCTTACCAACCCTTTTGAGACTGATCAGGTAGAAGTGCATAATCTAGTCAGAAACATTGTCAACCAAACACACACACCTATGCGATGTAGACAGATCACAGAAAAAGGTTAGCAATCAGTCATTAAACAACTGGCCTATGAAGAAACACAATGGTTGATTCACGTCCAACCTGAGGAGCAAATATTTGCTTGTTCGTTTCTGCACCATCTAGTCCACAGGTATGACAGGCCACCAGCATGTGACCTCACAATGAGGTCAAGCTAATCTAACAACGCGGTAATGAGTTAACACTGCAGAGATGTTGCCACTAAAGAGGAAAAAAGGCCAAGTGTAGGATATTCCTGTTAAAAATAGGTCGAGTCAGTGGTGTGATCGTGACCTTCTACAAATTACAGGCCACACCTGGTCAAGGAGCTACAGGTGTTGAAAGGGGTTGATGTAACAGCCTTTAATTTCAATAATACTCGAGTAGGTGTGTAAGAAAATATCCATACACTTGAATAACGCGATATGTTTGACTTTATACAATAGATGTAGATGCTTTATAGCTAGCAGGTTTTCAGTAATAAATAAATAAAAAACAACATCATGCAGTCATGGAGTGGACTATGCATTTTCAGTTATTAAATACTTGAGGGAAAAAAAAATGCTATTCTCTGAACCTTTAGAGCAGGATACAAGTATATAATATATTCAAGAATATATTATATATACAGGTCCTTCTCAAAAAATTAGCATATTGTGATAAAGTTAATTATTTTCCATAATGTAATGATAAAAATTAAACTTTCATATATTTTAGATTCATTGCACACCAACTGAAATATTTCAGGTCTTTTATTGTTTTAATACTGATGATTTTGGCATACAGCTCATGAAAACCCAAAATTCCTGTATCAAAAAAATAGCATATTTCATCCGACCAATAAATGAAGTGTTTTTAATACAAAAAAAAGAGTCAACCTTCAAATAATTATGTTCAGTTATGCACTCAATAGTCAATACTTGGTTGGGAATCCTTTTGCAGAAATGACTGCTTCAATGCGGCGTGGCATGGAGACAATCAGCCTATGGCACTGCTGAGGTGTTATGGAGGCCCAGGATGCTTCGATAGCGGCCTTAAGCTCATCCAGAGTGTTGGGTCTTGCGTCTCTCAACTTTCTCTTCACAATATCCCACAGATTCTCTATGGGGTTCAGGTCAAGAGAGCTGGTAGGCCAATTGAGCACAGTAATACCATGGTCAGTAAACCATTTACCAGTGGTTTTGGCACTGTGAGCAGGTGCCAGGTCGTGCTGAAAAATGAAATCTTCATCTCCATAAAGCTTTTCAGGAGATGGAAGCATGAAGTGCTCCAAAATCTCCTGATAGCTAGCTGCATTGACCCTGCCCTTGATAAAACACAGTGGACCAACACCAGCAGCTGACATGGCACCCCAGACCATCACTGACTGTGGGTACTTGACACTGGACTTCTGGCATTTTGTAATTTCCTTCTCCCCAGTCTTCCTCCAGACTCTGGCACCTTGATTTCCGAATGACATGCAAAACTGAGCAACAGTCCAGTGCTGCTTCTCTGTAGCCCAGGTCAGGCGCTTCTGCCGCTGTTTCTGGTTCAAAAGTGGCTTGACCTGGGGAATGCGGCACCTGTAGCCCATTTCCTGCACACGCCTGTGCACGGTGGCTCTGGATGTTTCTACTCCAGACTCAGTCCACTGCTTCCGCAGGTCCCCCAAGGTCTGGAATCGGTCCTTCTCCACAATCTTCCTCAGGGTCCGGTCACCTCTTCTCGTTGTGCAGCGTTTTTTGCCACACTTTTTCCTTCCCACAGACTTCCCACTGAGGTGCCTTGATACAGCACTCTGGGAACAGCCTATTTGTTCAGAAATTTCTTTCTGTGTCTTACCCTCTTGCTTGAGGGTGTCAATGATGGCCTTCTGGACAGCAGTCAGGTCGGCAGTCTTACCCATGATTGCGGTTTTGAGTAATGAAACAGGCTAGGAGTTTTTAAAAGCCTCCGGAATCTTTTGCAGGTGTTTAGAATTAATTAGTTGATTCAGATGATTAGGTTAATAGCTCGTTTAGAGACCCTTTTCATGATATGCTAATTTTTTGAGACAGGAATTTTGGGTTTTCATGAGCTGTATGCCAAAATCATCAGTATTAAAACAATAAAATACCTGAAATATTTCAGTTGGTGTGCAATGAATCTAAAATATATGAAAGTTTAATTTTTATCATTACATTATGGAAAATAATGAACTTTATCACAATATGCTAATTTTTTGAGAAGGACCTGTGTATATATATATATAACTATTTGCCCTTTACTTAAATAACACGAAATATCACTGTTTTGCTCAGTTTTTATGCATATGGTGGTGTGTTTTTTAAGACAGTTAATCTAAAATTAGATCCTCTTCCTAAAGAACACAAGAAATATTGCAAAATATCACCTTTCTTACTGTAATAATCGCAATATATCATATTGTAACCCCTGTATTGTGATACATATAATATCGCCAGATTCTTGGCGATACACAGCCCTACTCTTGAGTCATGAAGAGCCTTACTGCACAGAACGTGCACTGCTTTGAGCAGAAAGCTGATTACAGATGGAGCAAACCAGAGCACATACAACGTGCGTCTCTCGCTCTCTGTTTCTTTTCATTCTAGCTCTGCAAATGCTTTCATCTGAAAAACATCAGAGCCACACAGCTAATCTTGCCTAATGTTTTTTTTTAGATACACAGCAGGAATGGAATGCAAAAGACTCTACAATTGGCTCACTTAAGCACTGATTTCTTTTCTCTCTCTCTCTCTAAACGAACGACAAAGTGCACTGTGAGAGCCCATATCGACTGTTTGTGTCCTGTGTTTGTGTAACACACAATGAAACTCTGCTGGGCATCGCGGGACTCCCTGAAGTCAAGCCAATGCTGCAATGAGACTTCATCCATCTAGCTGTACACAAGCAAAACAATAGCAAAATCAACAGACCGCCAAGTAGGCAATTACTCTGGCTGGAATGCTTGTGCAGGGTTGAGGTTATGTACCAAAACTAACGGGTAATACATTTCTAACCATCTACAACAAGATTTATGTGGTCTGCCGTGGGCCTGCATTATCACATCTGGCCAAACTCCGGCCATCACATTTTTAGATGTCACATTTACTTTTGCAATCATGGATAATAAACCAATATAAAAGCCACAATGCAAGTATATTTATGTAACTGTGAATGTAAAGGCCACTACTAGTAGTGCATCTAGAGTACAGAGAAACAAATCTTCACAGTACGCAGTCCAATTCAAGTCCGTAGGTTGATTTAAAAAAAATTACTGATCCACTTACAAAGCTGTCAGTACACTTTGCAATCTCATGAAAACTGAACAGCAATAATTAATAATAAACACATTTTGTAAATATGTTTTCTACTTGTAGGACCGATAAATGCAATAGAATGCACTGTAAGATTATTTTCAGCAAAACTAGGCAGATTTTACCTCCAAATTCTCATTACTATAATGTGTATGTTACAGTGTCTCTCAATATTTTTATTGATGATTCATTATGGCATTATTTTTTAATCTATTAAGGTAAAATTTAAATAAAATTAATAAAATGTAAGTGCAGTTCAACAATCACTACCAGGATGTATAATTTATGATGTATAATTATTTTTTATATATTTTAATTATTACTTATATATTAAAATAATGAGAATACTGTTACAATAATGCAAATTGGTAAAATATGTTAATTGTTCTCAAATTAATTTTATGACACAAAAAAATCTTAAGGGTCCTAATAGAAGATAATACTTTATTTAGGCAAAACTAAACTAATTATTTTATGCCCTACAGATTTTAAGAGTGAAATGTAACCTGAACACCCCTTTGTGAGATTGACCCTGGTAACATTTAGGCCTATGTTAATGTGCCTTAGTAGGTGTCAGTAATCCAAAAATCATTCTGGATTGATTCATTAATCACAGTATCCACACGTACCATGAATTTCAGATATAAAAGTACACAAGATCAGATATGCAAAGGTTTAAATACACACATGTGCATTCACACACACAATGAAATGGTCTACCACTTGCTAGCATATTCCAGCTGGATGTCAGGTCGCTTGGCTTTATATGTTGTGTTTGGTCTAGTCACAATCTGCTGAGTGTGCAGCTATTTCATGAAATTGCATGGGGTGACTGACCTGATTGATGGAATTGGCTGTACAGGAAGAGAGACCTGTTCCGACCACAGCCATCAAAAAAGTGACAGGGTCAAAGGGCACTGGAGCCATAGCAAAGCCAGCAGCTGCCGTAGTAACAACAAGAGCTGCGGGGAGGAGAAAGTGAGGTTACAAGATTTAGTTGAAATGGTTACTTGAGTTTCTACAAAAAAAACAACAACAAAAAATATTCAGAGCATATAAGTGGAATTCTCATCACTTATATAATATTATCATTTTAAAAAATTAGAACTTTTAAAAGGATGAAAACTGTCAAAGTACTTCATGGGCTAAGACTATTTTTTTAACTGAATATATGATTAACCAAAGGAAAGCAATTAAACGTAATAAAAATAATCATTAGGCAAGTCAGCAGCGCTGACTTCTTTTTTAAGATTAGTTATCACATGTTGAACTTTCCATGAAATTCAAGATCACCTGTTTGTCTGCAAAAGTCATATGTTCAACTAACAGTATATATCTTATATTGCAATACGGCATACAATTAGGGCTGCTCGATAATGGAAGAAAATCATAATCACGATTATTTTGGTCAGTATTGAAATCGATTGAAATTGAATCAGTATTGAAAAAACGATTATGTAACATGATTATTTCACATGACTTTGGGAACGTGTTGCATTTATTAAAAGACACCTTTCAACAATTCTTTGCGGATGTGCGCGTGTCATTCAGAACACAAGACAAAATAAGAGTGTTCTTGTAAAACAGATAATCGTTTTTACTCGATTGTACTATTTTGGTGATCGTTGGGAGCCAACATCGAAATCAAAATCAAAATTCAATTAATTGCACAGCCCCAACTTACAATATATCATAAATGCAAAAGATAAAAACATATTATACCTGTTAATTTAAGTTTGGAGAGCCGTGCGTAAATCCCTGGTAAATCACTGTATTCAACCCTCGACTCCTTCCACTGCCGAGCCTCCAAGCGGGCTGCTCTGGTCGCCTCTGGTTCATCCTGGATGTTCTTCGAGTCACATGGTGGCACCACAGTACCTGGCTCAGGCTTTAAGGCTGGGATCTGCTGAACCTGTCTGACCAACGAATCATCTCGATCCTCCAGTGCAGAGGCGACAGGCTCCTGCTTGGGTCTCGCTCTCTGACAGACACCACCGATGCTCTTCACATACTGTGGGAAGAGGGAAGAAATAGATAAATACACAATTTATATAAAAAAAAAACCTTAAATACACAAATTTGATGGATCTCAATTTCATCAGTTAATTCTGTTAAAACATGATTGGCATATCTCGGATTTGAATTGCAATAATTAAAAAGGAAAGTAAACAATATTACAAATAAATAATAGTTCTCCTGTAATGATATTATGGAAAAGCAGACTCAAAAAAGAATGAGATAATATTCTTAAATATCTATAAATATCTAATATTTGATCAGAATTGTCTTCGTCAGCGTATTTATGATTATGCGTACATAAAGGCAGCACTTCATAGCCTACCTGTCTCTTCAGAAAGCAGAGATGCTGGAATGTGAACCATTCTGCTCGATTCTTCCTGCAGAGCTGAATCAGACTCCTGGCACTCATGTGACTCGATGCATTTGAAATGAGCTTCTTCTGCACATTGACACCTACCAAACCTTCAAGAAGAGAAGATATAACTTAATTTAATCGTTATTTAAATTAATGCCTATACTAATGTATACTAATAATTTTGTAAGCTCTAACTACATTTTTACCTTTATACAAATAAAACATAATAAAGTTCAGACATTTTGAAAAACTAAAAAAAATATTGATCAATCCAGTGGTTATGTATTTGACAGCCTTCCAGTGACGTCATGACAAACAACAAATGGCATCATTAAATCACTCCTGCAGCACTCAGGACTCAATACAGCAGCAGCTCTTCATATATTAACAATTAATGGACAATATACATATATACAGACACACACACACATACTAGTATGAACATTAAAATATCTCACATAATACAGGCAATGTAAGTCAAATGATGATTTGCCGTAAGCAAAATATACTGCAAAGAGGAGAAAAGCACTTCTACATCAATGTCAGTGCATGTAATTAACGGAATTCCTTAAAAACCGGGTTCATATTATGTAAACTGTGTTGATATTTTAAGGTCATGCTGCTGCAGTAGCGCTTTAGTGTCTAGGCTAACCGGCTAGCATTCTTATAAAACGTCCCCCCGCAAAAAACAAAAGACCACATATGATTCATTAACATAGCATAGTTATTAATACCACATGGCAGGCATTTCCAGACTCCCGTCAGTCTACTACATGGTGTTTTGTACATGTTCTTCAGGCGAACGACCGGCTACCGCTGAGTCCCCTTCACATGATGCAGCGCGCCATCTTGACCTCGCTTACGGAACTTACGGAAGCGAAGTGTTTCCTCTGACGTGTGTCCTGCTGTAGAAAAGCATGAGCACGCGCACGGAGCACGGAGTGTACAGTGTGAGTGTAGGCTACTGTTACAGGCTTTTGACTATCCTAGAAAACTATCTAAACGGTTATTAATAATGAAAATAAGCCCAATGAAGGCTTAAATTTGGTTTTAGCTGCGTAAATCACAACAGTGTGTGAATTATTCTGCCCTGTTATTATACATTTACTTTGGCCGATCTTATCCTATTAGCCTATTATTTTCGAGCATTGACGAGGGAAAGTTAAAAACTGTGCAGTATAGCCTTGAACAATATACCTTTAAAATAACTTTAAAAAAAGTTTAACCCGGAAAATATATTCTGAAGTAAAATGTGTTACAATGAGATCAGGTCTCCTTTTTTTTTAATAATCAATAATTTTAAAAATTATTTGGGCCACTGCAGGGCCCAAATATGAAATCTCTGCCACCTGATAATAAGTAAAATGTAAATAATTTAAATCAAATTTATCATTAAATCTGTGGCACAAATGGGGTTTGTTTACCAATGGTCCTCTAATTCAGGGTCTGCGTCTTTCTTCCTTTCCCTGTCCTTCGTACAGCCTCTGCGCCTGCTCAATTATTTATGTTTGTGATTACACTCGTGCCAGAACTGCAATGGGCTTCTATCTTATTGCACGTCTCATGTGTGATTCATAATTTCCCAATACCAATACTATATCAGAGTTGTTTCAGCATCCTATGTAGAAGCAAGCAACAGAGATAATGTTCATAATGTCTATTAAAGATCGGCTAAGAAGATCAATTTCCATTTTATCAGTAAATACACTCAGACGTTCCTTGATTATCTTGGATATCTTCCTCCAGTATTAAAGGCCTGATGGTTGAAACACTGCATCCAAACCCATTTCCTTGATTCATCTCATTCATTATGGCCGCTTCCTGGCCAGCCCTCCCATCCTCTCCTAGCAGATTACATGATCTAATCTCACCCCCTATCCAGATGCAGAATGCCTAGCGGTATGTTCTAGCAGCCACAGATCATGAGCTCTATTCAGCTCCCACAGACAGGAGTTGTACAAAGACGGGATTGCAGCTTTGACCCTGTGAACTTTTTGAGACTGTTTGATTTGAGACGCATGCTTTGTGTTGGTAGGTTTTGTGTATGAAAAGACTGTAAGAGCCTGGAGCATTTTTCAATAGTACAGTCTGAGTCTATTTTATATGTGATTTAGATATTGTACATGTGTGTACATGCATATCTTGAACTAATATTCAAACCAGTGTCATGAAAAAAAGTTTCACAGCCAATCAGAAAATCTTATATATATTATAATAGCCTAGTTATCTACTGGACTTTTCTTTTTTTTTTAACTAAGTTTTTTTTTTAACCAGCCACAATATGTATGTATATATATATATATATAATACAAAAAAGTCATTCAACAGTGTTCATTATTATTTTGCTCCACGATTTGCAGCAATTCATGTAATCTGATTCCCCAAGAATAACATAATTTGTGCTTGTTGACAATGCATCAAATGAAAAAATGAGGATGAGGAAATAAGATCAGGAAATTGTTTGTTTATTATAATAGATGTCCATAGTGACAAATCTGATTGGACACTTGCATATTATCAGCAAGAAATATTCATCATTTATAAAAAGAAACTGGAATTTATGTAAAATGTGTTTTTCGCTTGTGCGTTAAACCAGAGCTGACTGTGAATTGCCTTCACAAGGACACAGCACAAGTATGGTAAACATGTGGTAATGATTCTCACTGTGTCCTCAAGTGCCATTTGTAACCAAGGATGCTAATCAAGTATGCTTACACCCTTTGTTCTTTTAGACTTCTTCTAAGTGCTGCCCTCAGCCTTCAGAATTGACACCTACAATGACTATTGTCAGATAGAGGTGTGTGATAATTAGATTAGATGCTCCACGGGGTAAAGACTAAAGATATGGAGAGGTCATAAAGCTAGACATGCCTGCACATCCTGCTCACCACAAGGTTTTCTGCATTGACCAACCTGAGAGCAGATGGCCTGAAGGGCTTCAGAACAATGCAGCCTGATTGGATGGATCTGCTTAACACACGGCGCTTTTCAGGACACACAAACAGAGGTCTCATCCACTGTGGTGGTCTTTTATCATGGCAGAATGTAGCATCTTGAGGTAGACTGTTTTCTTTCAAGGCAAGGAGAAAGAAAAGAAGACAGATGAGATGAACAAAGGGACTGTGACTGAAATATATTGACAGGTTTCTGTCAGGTTCATGCATTGATGGAATAGAGCACTGCTAAAAAAATTACTTGTGTCCATGTTGGAAATAATATGCCTACTACTACTTGCAATTTCACAACATGACTTGGAAATTAAGCAGTAACAATTACAAAAAAAAAAGAGAAGCTTTATAGGAACCTGAGATACATATCTTTTGTAGACAACATTTTTTTGTCCCTGTACAAATAAACTATTTTATATAATTATTAACTTTTTAATTATTTTGTTTCAAACTCAACACTTATGCTTTTGTAGTGCACAAAATGAGACAAAAAAAATGGCGTTCTTTCCATACAATTAAAATAAATGTGGACATAAAATGCATCATAATACCAGTGTTATTTTAGTATTACAGTATTATTATAGTCATATTCTTATTAATATTTTTTTAATTAACTTGTATTTTTATATTTTTAGTTTTCATTTAAATTTTTGTTTATATTTTAAATTAGCCTAACCTTTATTATTATGTTTTTGGTTTTTATTTAATATTTAATTTAAATTTTAGTAATTTTGTTATGTGCTTTTGTAATTTTATCATTTTTTAAAATATATCTATTAGTATTGGTTTATGTTTTCTAAGTTTCATTTTTTTTATTTAATATCTTTATTTTATTTCAGCTTTATTTCAATTAACAAAAACTTCTTAATAAGTTTTAGATTTAGTTAACACTAACAATCCTGCATAATGCCATCATAAAAAAGTCTATACAACATACAAAAGTTATCACATAGACACAAAAATAGCACGTCAAGATTGGTCACACCAGGTTTGACCTCTATGACAAGGCACAAGAAAATATTTGATGTCATTGACTTCAGATTTGCAGTGATACACCATATCTAAATGAACACAACTTACATTATTCCTTTTGTTCCTAAAAATAGTCATATGGGTTTGGAAGACAGATGGTAGATCAATTTTTAATCAATTTGTGAACAATTAAAGTAGGTAGACCGATGCAGGATTAAATCTCTGGGTTACTTTAAATTTCAATTGTGAAGCTTTGAACCAAACTCACTCTTTTTTTGTTAATATCAGCACAGGACTTGATATTTGTTGGTGCAATGGAATGGTGACATGCTGAAACAATTGAGAGTAACCACGGGCCCCAGGTTGTGTAAGCTGAGCCCTAAAGGGCCATTAGAGGACCTTAAAGAGTGGGAACCCATAAGTCCTCTGCGCAAACTTGTCTGCACCCCTTTTTAACCAGTCAAAGTCATTTTTTATGATTGTTTACTTGTTGGGAACAGGAGGCCAGGCAAAGCAGATGCAATGAAAAAACACCCCAACTGCTCCCATAAACTGCTCATCCCAATAAGCAGTGGATGCCCTGACCTGTCATCACTCTAGCTCACCCGTTCATGATTTACACCCTCTGTCCCTGTGGGTTTAGAAACTCGCAGTAATCCTTCAGGGATGGCCGTTTGAACCACAGTGGAAGCTGCCCAAAGAGAGGGAGGATAAAACCGAAATCCAAGACAGACAGCCCCACAAAACTGCGAGCAGAAACAGATGCAGGGAAGCTCCTGTGTTTATAATTGATTTTCAAGGGCAGCGTCTTGTTGTCAGAGTTTGTCTAACAAGCTTTTGCCTGGCGCCCTGGTGCTCGTCAACCACAGGGCGTCAGATGCACCGGCCCCTCCTTTCTTCACTCGGGATGGCACCATCCAGAAATACCTGGATCAGGCTGTGGAATGAGATTATTTTAAGAGATACTCTTGAAGTCTCATCTATAGATAAAACGAAGGAGTGTTAAAGGGATAGTTCACCCAAAAACGAGGCCCAAAACTTTTAAGATCCAAAAAGCACACAAAAGTTTGGGGTCGGCAAGATTTTTTTATGTTTTTGAAAGAAGTCTGCTCATAGAGGCTGCATTTGTTAAAATACAAAACTGTAATATTGAGAAATGATATTACAATTTTAAATAAATGTTTTCTATTTTAATATATTTAATATTCCTGTGATGATAAAGAGGATTTATCAGCAGCCAATACTCCAGTATTCAGTGACACATGATCTTTCGGAAATCATTCAACAGTTCAAAAGTTGTGCTGCTTAATATTTTTTGTGGAAACCATGATAAAAAAAAATTCAAGATTCTTTGATGAATACAAAGTCAAAATCATTTGTAACATTATAAATAGCTTTACTGTCACTATTGATCAATTTAAGGCATCCTTTCTGAATAAAGTGATTAATTTCTCGAAAAAAAAATCTTATTGACCCCAAACGTTTGAAAAGTACTGTAAAGGTTGCGTGGAATTAATCCTCACCAAAGTCCTTTCAGGCAAGTCATGCCACTCGGCCGCCATCTTGGCAACGCCTCCGGGCAGCTATTTCGGACTAACAAGACCAGGCTCCTATCTAAATGAATGGGCAGAGAGTCAGAACTGCACTTTCGCTGGTCACCAGGACATAAAAACTGCTTGTATAGAAACAGCAGTAAAATATGATAAAAATCGCTGAAAAAGTTTGATGACTTTGCCCCAAAATAAGGTTTAAAAGGCCTTTTTCCCCACAGGTTATACGTTTACTACGTATGCGCAAGGGTTCTCGTCTCCGCTGTCGCAAACCTCAACTGTGTGCATGCGTCAGTGGAACCAGACGATAGGCTTACATGTTTCCCGGTTTGACTGTTAAAAGCAGACGATTGGCTTTCCAGCGGGAGGGGCGGGGCATGTGCATACAAC